GGGAAAAGATGTTTTAGTCAATTTCCTAATAACATAAGCAAAATTCCCACAGGGCTCAAAGTTAGCGTTTAGTTCTGTAACAGATGTCGTTTATTAGTGATTTAATTTATATAAATCACTAATTTGTATGTTTTAGATAGAGGTGAAAAGATCATTTATTAGATTTTGTGTCTTAAAAACCTGCTTGGATGTGGTGCTAAAAACAAGTTACAGTTGTGCTTTTATTGAGTTTGCTGAGTTCCTATATATGGTGGTTTCTCTGGCAGGTGTCAAAGTTTTGGGTTGTAAAAGAGATATTTGGTTTGATATCTTTGGTTTACTTCAGTTTTACTCATATATACAGATAATGCTGTACATTTACTATTTAAAATACTATATTTCCTGAACATTTAGTAAACACTTATGTTCATAGGGGTTTCTAGGGAATACAGTAAGTGCAGAAAATGCTATTTCTGCTCGCTCTGACAAAATGTACTTCAATTTGTAAAGAAAATATACACAGCCTATTGAAACTGATTGCAAAAGCAATATACAGCTAACAGTGAGAGATTATATGAGAACGGTATTCCTGAATCCTAGGAAAGTTTAGAATAAAAAAAAGTAATCTGAGATTCATTATATAGTGACACTATTGTTTAAGAAATTGCTATTGTGACAAACATTTCATTGTTAACCAGAAGGCTTGTGGATCTAACATGAAGAAAATTTATGAGGAATTACACTTTAGTCATATTTTGAGAACTGTGGGACACTGGATTGCAGCTGAAGGGCAGCTGTTTGTGGTTGGATTACAGTGTGTTTAGATAAAGTTTAGGTAACCAAAAAATATGTATTTATAATGGTGAGGCAATGTTTGCTCTCATTCTGATTTTTTTAATGTAACCTTTGAGCAAGTCATTGTGTGGCTCTCTAACAAAGTTCATTATAAAATAAAGGTCATGGTCATTGTAATTCCTTTAGGAAAAGAGAGCAGACTGTACAGTCACATAGTTCTGGGTTGTAATCTCAGCTGTGATACTTAATAGTTAGGTGATTTGGGGCAAGTTATTTGACCTTACTTAACTCTTGGTTTCTTCATCTCAGAAAAAAAAAGATAAAATTTCAAAGACTTATTAGAATGTGAGAAGTAAAATACTAGTGCTTAATTAGAGTACTCAGCACAGGACCTGATACTTTGTGAGTAATGTTAACTTAATGTTAGTTGCCCTCCTACTTTGTGAAATGAGAATTATTCATACCACATTTAAAATATTTAAAATGGTTGTTTTGAATATTGCAAACTTGCTAATAAGGAATTAGGGTATTGAAGTTCTTTTTGTTTTAATATATTTTTATTGATTTCATAGAGGAAGGGGGAGGGAGAGAGAGAAACATCAATGGTGAGAGAGAATCATTGATCAGCCGCCTCCTGCACCCCCCACACTGGGGATCGAGCCCTCAACCTGGGCATGTGCCCTGACCAGGAATCAAACCATGACCTCCTGGTTCATAGGTTGATGCTCAACCATTGAGCCATGCCAGATGAGCCTTTTTTTTGAGTCATTAAATTAGATATAAATGAAGTAGAGTTCTTGAATATAACAACTGTAAAAAAGTAATATGAGATTACCAGTAAATTAGTATAAGCAAAGAGCAATCTATTAATGAACTTAAGGTAAAATATGATATTTAATTTATAGAACCTTAGAATTTTTCTCCCTGACTCTAGAAAATTTCCTAGTAATAATAACTTGGCTAGTCTTGCAAGCTTCTTGAGGCATAGGAGAGTTTTAAGGTTCTGTTAAAAGATGTTGATAGATTAATTTTATTCTAGGTTAGGAACTTCATTGCAATAGATCTTACGGGCAACTTACTGTTTAATTGTTGCTTTCAGTTTTGTCTGGACAGCTACCCTGCTTAATTTGTGAAAATCCCTGATATTTGCTATAGATATCATTAAATAGTCTCAGTTTTGCATGCCAAAATCTATTTTAAAACCCATATGCTTCCCTTAGCTACTTCTTCTGCAAGTATAGTATATTTTTTGTCAATGCAGTTGTGCATCTCTTCCTGGTACTGAAAAGACTAAGAGTATTTTTCCTGTGTAAGCCTTTCCTAGTATAATTTAATGATCATATTCACAGTGAATTCTGAGGACATGGACACACTTATATTCAAATGTAATGATGAGAATATAATTTATTTAAAAGTATTAAGATTTTTTTGTTTATCCAACTCTTTTACCTTTCCATTAGTAAAAATAAAAAATTATTTTAATTGGTGTTTAATAATTAGAAAAGTAGGAAGGCTTTTTTGAATGATGATTTGATTTTTTGTTTTCTGATTTCTTCTAGTTAGAAGCTTACTCATGTTGTTTAATTACTCACTTCAGTTAGACAAAACAAACATTGACTGAATGCCTATTATATACTAAATGCTGAAATAAGTGCCAGAGGAATAAAGATGAGGAAGATGGTACTCCCTTTTTAGGAGTTTACTGGAACAGACATAAAGAAGTGTTTACAATATGGAACAATAAATTAAGTAATCAAACTGTTTCAGGAACAGAAGTAGCCCAGAGGAGAGAATGATTAACAATCTGGTTGGTCGAGGATCAGAGAAGGCTTCACAGAGGGGTTGGCTTTTTGTGAGAACAGTCACGGACAAAGTGGAAGGAAACGTGGGCTCTCTACACCTTGGAAAAGTAAAGTCGAAAGTCTGTAGGAAGAGGAGCTGCCTAGGAGACCACTGTTACCATCTGAGAGATGATGGGGGACTGAGCCAGGACTGTTGGAGACATAAATGAAGTTGAATATATATTGGAATGGAGAATCACCTAATTTATTCTTCAGGTTCCAGATTGACTTTGTAATCCTCCTACTCTGTGCAGAGAACTTTTACTTCTTTGTTATGAAGGTCGAAGCTGTCTGATATGTGTCCCCTTGTCTTCCCTTTATATTTCATTTCACCCATAGTTCTGTCTCTCTGAGTCAGAAGAAAGCATCTTTACTTTATGCTTCTAATAATGTGTAATATTCTCTGTAGAACTAAGATTTCTTCTTTATGTCTTCCTTCCTATTGGCTTAGTTTTCTCACGTTCAGCAACGTTTTTGTATCTTTCACATGGGTCAGGTACTACACTGGGTATGGGATGATGTTGAGAGATGTGAAAGATAAATACAAAGATTACAAAACAGTTACTTTTCTGTGGGTTCTATAGACAGAATAGTTTATTCTCATTCCATAGCTTTCTTCCTTAACCACTGTAGAATGTTCCCCATTCTATTATTAGTAGTACTGTATTAAATTATTATCTCACTTAATCTTCAACAGCCTTTTGAGGTACTCTTATTATTCCTATTTTACAGTTGAGGATATGGGTTTTGAAATTCTAAAGGACTGAACTCAGAAAGGTAATTCAGCCAGGGTCACAGGGCTAGTAAGTAACTAATGTATCATGCACTGTAGCCACTATATTTTCCTTGCTTGACTTTTGTAAAATATTCTCTTGATTCTTACCTTTTATGCTGTTGCTTCTCTTGATTAGCTGGTCTTCCAACTTTTCAAGCAAGCGATCCCTAAGGTTCTTCTGTTCTTGGTCTTTTCCTCTCTCTTACTGGTGCTGTCTCCCTGAGCAGCCTTTTCACTCATGACTTCAAAATTCCATAAATTGAGATCATTGTGATAACTACACTTTTATTCAGACTTTTTCTTCTAACTTGCAAAAACATTATCATTTGTGTCTGGTACTCATCTCAGAGTCCTGATGTGTGTGAAACGTTGCACCCCATAGCATACCTCTTTTCACTTGCTAGGTACCACCACCATCCTCTGTTACTCAAGCTAGTGGCCTAGTGTTCTTCTTTGTTCAGTTGGGAAGTTCCTCCATTTTGCCTCTGAGCTATCTACTGCATCCAATCTCTCCTATTCCCTTGTCGTTGATCTAGTTCCCTTCCTCATTATTTCATTTGGATGATAGTAAAATCATCTTTCTCTCACCTGTTTTTAATTATTCTGCTGTACAATTGCCAAGATTATTTCCCTGAAATCTAGATCCGATTCCATTAAAAAACAAAACACATACACACAATCTCCCATTTAAACTTCTCAGGCCCATTTTTACTCACTGAATAGAATCTGAATTTCTTAGCTTGGCATTGAAGGCCTTTGATGATTTATTTCAAAATGTTCTTCTGTACGGTCTTAACCATACTGTTCTCAATCTGTCTACCTCTCTGTATAGTTGCACTTATGGAATACACTCCCTCCCTTCTTTATACACAGTGCTTCCCGAAGGTTTGGGGAGATTTGCTAGTAGCACCAACCTCTCCTTTCCTCATTCTTCCTCTTGAAGATTCTGTTATGCCTTAGTTGAGGATCATTGCTTTAGTCAAAGATGACTTAATCTTTGCACATGGCATGCAGTTTCTCTTTACTTGACCTTGCATAGGTTGTTTCCTCTGCCTAGAAGTCCATTTGCAGCACTATTTATCAAACTCCTAGTTTAAGGTCTAGGTCACATGCCACTTCTGTAAATCCTTCCTAATCACCCCAGTGGGAATTTATGCTTCCCATATCTCTGATTGTTCCTTTCTAGATATCACTTACCATTGTCTTATTTAAGTTCTTTGTCCAGTTCTTTTTCTTTCACTGGACATCACACTTCTTCCCCAGCATCTATCATATGATAATAACTGAAGCATTAATTAAATGGAGGAATGGAGAGAAGAGAAAAGGAGCAGGAGTAGTATGTACTGTATTGAGGAGATCAGATGTGAAAGAGCATTTTAAGTTTGCAGTCCTGAGGGACAGTGAAATGGATGGTGCCATGAAAGGAGAAATCATTTTGGGAAGTATGATAATGAGTCCCTTGCTCTTGAATTTAAGGTGATTGACTCTGTCAGAGATGTGTGAGAGCTAGCAGCAGATACTGAAATGGAAGTTTTAGTAGTAGTTCTGAACTTGTGATCTGGTTGTTCCCTGCATAGGGCTTTGAGAACATGAAGAATGTAAATGGAGAAAGAGCTGAACATTGGAGTGTTAGAGGATAAACTGATGAAAGTGTATGCCATGGTGGACGGGTCAGTACGAAGAAAGGGTTCAACAGAAGAGAAGAAAATTACAAGATCTCTGAAGCCAAGAGGAGAATTTGGGGTTTAAGGGACAGAGAGAGTCTAGCATTGCAGTTGGGGTTAGGAGAACTGAGTTATGCTCTTCCTTAATCTGAGGATGACTGAGTTGTTTACTTAACCTTTCTGGGTATCAGTTTCCTAATCTCCAAAATGCATACCACTTTACATTTGTAGCACTTTCGCTTTCTGTCTTTGTGATTCTCAGATATCACTATGTTTCTGGGATATTGAAAGGTTAAAGAGAAAGCATTTATAGCCCTGTTAAGTCACTGTGAGAGGTATTCCTATAAACAGTAATGAATACTAGTACATGTAGGAGTGATGCTATTTCATAGCACTTTAAATGTAAATTATAGTCAACTCTCAATTTCCTTTTAAGTGATCATCTGCAGTGACTTGCTGCCTCCTCCCTCCCAGGTCTCAGGCTACTGAAAATAGGGCTGTGAAAAGCACTGTGGGGTGAGTGAATGGTTTGCATGCTTGTGTATCTGTACCACTGACTATCACCAAGCTAAATACAGTCCACTCTCAGTTACCTGCACATAATAAAAAGGTGAATAATGGTGGAAGAGTGCTAAATGTATATTCTAAACAGCATTACTTATATGCGCCTTGGGAATCTTTTATATTCTTTCCTCTCCTACAGTAAATTGATGTATTTTTTATTTGAATTAATAGCATCAATTTTTATTTATGAAACAAATACTATTAAATAGTGGAAGTAAACAGACTGAAATATTTATTAGGTAAACTACATATGAATAATTGAGAGTTGGCTGTGCTTTTGGATCATCCATTGTTTTGTATTACCTGTGCTTTTTTGTTAGTGTGGCCAGGTTAAAGCTAAATAGCTACTTTAAAATTATATCTGTATGATGAGTGTACTCATAAAATTATGCCGATGCCAAACTAAATTGAAAATAATTATTCAAAACTAGCTAAATATAATATTCATACGTTCAAAGTCATAGGGTTGAAAGAAAGTACATTCTTGAAATTCTTTTTACAAAGTCATGTAGCCAGACAGATTGCATAAACTGAACAATGTACCTGGTAATGATGCCTTTTATATAAAATATAATAAAATATATTTTATAAAATATTAAATATCAAACAAAAAAGAAAGGAATTTTAACCTTAATTACTTGAATTAATAAAGAATCTGATTCCTTCAATTACTTTACCTTTTTTTTACCCTAATATGTTGAAGAATTTGGATTTGTAGTGGTTTGTTAATGTCAGTCAAAATATTTTTGATGAATATATAATACTAGAGGCCTGATGCACGAAATTTCTTTAAGGGGCTCAGCCCCCGCCCCAGCACTGCAGCTGCCTCAGCCCTCACAGCCCCGCTTCATCCAAAAGGCCTTCTGGTCTAATTAGCATATTATGCTTTTATCATTATAAATAATTAGGTTAGTAAGTGTTATTGTAAATCAGGAAGGCATAATTTTTGGCATTAAGGAGTTTATATTATAGTTGGGATATTCCTGAATCAGGGCATAGTTTAAGACAGTAGTATTTGAAGCACCTGCCAATTATCTTTATAAAGGAATCAAAAGCTGGAGAAATTCAGACAAAAATGGGAGATAGGTAAGGAATGATAGAGTGAAGACCTCATAGAAGGTTGACACCTGTAAGACCTTTGCATAAAAGGTCTTGAATAGTGAGAGTTCTGAATCAGTGTTTAAAAAATCACAGCTTAATTTGTGAACTAACATATTCTGGCATATTATTCAGTATTTGAAGAAAAGATATTGCGAAAATGTTGATGAGTTTTGCATGTAAATCTCTTAACTACTGAAGACTGATTATGTTTTAAACTAGAGTTCTGATCTTTGAAGGCAGTGCTGGACTGAGAGATTTTAAGCATATTGTGCAGTAATTGTGTGCTTTTGATTATGAGTATATAAATGCTTGGCTGCATTCCAAACCCAAGCATAAATGATTTTTTTCTTCCATTGTTTTGTAGTATATGTGTCTACTCTCCTTTCATTAATACTGCATGCTCGAAAGGCTCTACATTTGTTGTCAAACTTATTTCTAGACTAGAGGCCCAGTACACAAATTTGTGTATGGGTGGGGTCCGGCCTGCTCCGATTAGGGCCAATGGGGGCCAACCAGGGGGAGGGGCCACGGGAAGTTGGCCGGCCGATCCTGCACCCGATTGGGCCAGTTGGCTGGCCGCAGTGGGAGTCATAGCGACCTGTTGTTCCCGTCATTCCGCTAGCTTGGCTTTTATATAGATAGATGTATGCAGAGACTACAAGAGGGATTTTTTGTTATTTTTACACTAAAATGATTGTATTTTCTGATCTCAAAATTCAAGCATGTGACCTGATAGTGTTATAAAATACTTTAAGATTATCTTGAGTAAACATGGAATATTTCATTGCCAAACCTAGACACCTTACCCAGCCCTCTAGTTATTTGGATAAAAGATAAACAGTGTTTGGGAAGTTACTGCTCTCAAAGTAGCAAAATGAGAGTTGAATTGCCACTTGCAGGGATTTTAGTAAACTTGTTCACAGTCCAGTGTAATTTCATGTATTTCTTATAAAAAGTAGAGTGAAAAGCCTCAGAAACTAGTAAAGAAGATTTTCAAGTAATTTACTTTTAATGACTAAGAAGGAGCAGCTTGCCAGATAAAAGTATATTTAACTGTTTTTAGATGTGTGCACATAATATTTTTATCAGTAGTTTCTGACTCTGAGAATCACATCTTAAGATAATATTTCTAATTATTTCCATGCTTAATGTTCATCCCTCAGATACTAAAAGTTTTAATTGCCGTTTTCTTTTCTATTCATAATTCCGTATAATACACTCCCTAACCTTCACCACTCCACCATCACCACCAGCCCTCTCCCCCAAGGAAAAAAAAAAAAGAAAAAACCCGAGGGGAATTGAGTTGCAGAAAGAGTGAGAAGACTCCAGTGGTTGGAGGTAGGTGAGCTGTAAACGAATGTTTCGCTACATGGCAGTTTCTGTGTGTGGCTAGGTGGCAAGTGGAATATTGTGGAACTTTTTCTTCAGCACAGGTAGATAAGTTTTTAATCATATCTGTCACATGTGATATTAGTAGACAGTAATAATAATGGGATATTTGAATACAAATAACTATTTCCTACTTTGTTTATTTAAAACGATGTGGTTTTATATTATTACTTAGGTTGTAATTTCTAGTGTTATGTTTGAATGGCATACTTAATGTGGTACTAAGCAGGTCAGATTTCATGTGTCATCTATATAATAAAAGCCTAAGTGACCGTTAAGGTGGAATGACCAGAATGACCGGTTGCTATGACACGCACTGACCACCAGGGAGCAAACGCTCAACACAGGAGCTGCCCCTGGTGGTCAGTGCGCTCCCACGGGGGAGCACCGCTCAGCCAAAAGCCAGGCTCATGGCTGGTGAGTGCAGTGGCGGTGGCAGGAGCCTCTCATGCCTCTCACGCCTCTGTGGCAGCGTTAAGGAGCAGCCAGCTGAACAGTAAGGAGCGAACAGGTGGGCGGGAGGAAGGGAGCAAGGGATCCAGGACTGCGAGAGGGAGCAGGCCGGACTGTGGGACCACCCCACCCCCAGTGCATGAGTTTCGTGTACCAGGCTTCTAATATAAGAATCATTTTTAACATAAGATTTTTATAACTTTAATGAGTTAAATTTTAGATTGGCCTAGTCTTAAAAATGTTTAAATCACTTCGTATATTTTAATAAGAACCTTAAAATAGCCCTTTTTTTCCCTTTGGGGAGAATTTAGTATGTGTTCATGTTTCAACATTGTTTTGAATACATAAATGTATATTATTGTTTTACTTAGCAAAATAAAAGAAATATTAAAAGATGCTGGATATTTTTCAAAAGGAAATAAAAAGATTAAGACATTTGGATAAATTGTTGCAGTTGTCTTTTGCTGATTTGAAATTCCTTTTACAAAGTCATGTAGCTGATTTTTCTAATAGCTTTTTTTGTTTATATTAAAAGCTTAGACTTTATGAGTTCTAGGAAAACTTTTTGACTTACTTCAATAATTATGTCTACATTGTAAAGTACCATAGGAAAGTGTAATTGTTTTAAAAACAAGTAATTATATGCCACTAAATATTCACCTGGGGTATTTGAATATGAGTGTATTGGGAGATACACGGTTATCTGTAAATATTGTCTATTTTTAAGCATATTTGGAAGCTACTTTAGAAATTATTTTATTAGTGCTCTTATTCAAAACAGGAATGTTCTCTATAGTATCTGACATGTCATTCATTATCACTCAGACCTTTCACTGATAAGTAGCTTATTCAAAAGGGTTTGTTTCTTTGAACAGCTATGTTTGTTAGTAAAATTCTCATATCAAGTTAACCAAAAACTTAATAAAAGAATTTTTCAGTAATTGGTTCTAGTTCTTCCCTTTGAAACAGTGCTTTTATTCTTTTATTTTAGAAGTGTTTACCAATAAAAAGTAGAACTGAGGGGAAATAGAGTTGCAGTAGGTGTAATTTGTACACTGTGTATGCTATTAAGGACAGACTCTTACCCTTTTACTCTCATTTTATAGGCCGATCACCAAGTATTTATTGAGAACCACCAGTGTGTCTGGTGTTGTTCTAGTTTATATGGTCTTTTATTACAAAAAAAGCAGCAGCAGCTACCATATTTTGAGCCTTATTATATGTTGGGTACTGAGTTAAAAACATTACTTAAATTACCTAATTTAATCTTCCTACATACCAAGGAAATACATATTAATATCCCTATGAAGGAAATGGGGCCCAGAGGCAGCCTAACTAGCCCAGGTCATTTGGCAGTAAGTAAGAAAGGTAGGATTCATATCCTATTTATTGTTTTTGGTTCTAAATCTCATGTACTTAATCCTTTACAGTCTTTCTAAAAAGAAGTCAGATAGCCCATGATGCTGGAATAATTAGTAACTAAATGAGTATTCTATATATTGTAGGACTTTATTTGTGGTACTCAGGAAGCAAGTTACTGGCTGAGCTTTTAAACATTTTAGATACAATTATTTCTAGAACTATTACATCTTTCATTTCTTAAGAAGAAAATATCAATTATATTTTAACTTTTTGGCTAGGGTCATCATCATTAATTATGTGTTTATTAATACCTTATGTAACTTTGGATTGCTCTTTTAATCTTATGTGCTATTTCATTGTTCTCAGCTATCATTTACATTGCAATTATTGTTTTTATATTTAGCAGTCTTTTAATTCCTTATTTTTTACTTTCACTGTGTTATACAATGAAAACGATATACCTGGCCTTGTTAATCTGAATGGAAAATAAAGAGAAATAGGTTGTCATTATAAGGATTTAAGGGTGGGGGGAGTGCTACTGTCAATAATATATATGAACTGTAGTGAATAAAATTGGTGATGATACACTGTTTCAGTTTTTATTGCCATCTCTTGGAGTGCTTGTTTTTACATTCTGGCTGTTTTTCAGATAGGTAATTATCTCAGCATAATTCAAGGAAGGTGAGATGTGACTTGATAGAGTTGGTATATTTTTATACAATATGGGTAGTGAGATAATATAAAAGTAGATAAGGTACAAAATATGACTAATATGGACAAAATAACATGTAGTAACATGTTAATGGCATGATACAGAGACAGTCTAGCACTGGAGCCTTATAAGAGCATGGGCTTTGGAGCCCGATGGACCTGCTTCTTAGAAGTTTTTGAATTCAGACAAGTTTCCTTTTCTGAGGATATTTTCTCATCTCTATTGGAGATAACACTTATTTGAGGAGTAGTAAAATGTAAAGTATTTATTACAGTTTTGGCACACAGATAAAAAGAAGTAGATATCAGGCCAGAACCGGTTTGGCTCAGTGGATAGAGAGTCGGCCTGTGGACTCAAGGGTCCCGGGTTCGATTCCGGTCAAGGGCATGTACCTTGGTTGCGGGCACATCCCGAGTAGGGGGTGTGCAGGAGGCAGCTGATCGATGATTCTCTCTCATCGATGTTTCTAACTCTCTATCCCTCTCCCTTCCTCTCTGTAAAAAATCAATAAAATATATTTTTTTTAAAAAGAAGTAGATATCAGGTGTTCTTTATGTGGTCAATGTAAAGCAAAGGGGATGAGGGAAGGGAGAGAGAAGCCTGAGTTGGAAAAAGTAAAAGAAAGGGGAGCATTGTTTCAACTTTGAATAATTAGGCTGTGGTTAAATCAGGAGGACTAGGGTATGAGCAAAGGCATGAAATATTTTACTGAGAGGAATAATAAGGATATATAATTTTAGCATTTATATTAGAGTTGCAGGACAGGAGTAAGTTATTGAGGGCCTTGAAAACTTTGTGGAGCTGTTAAATCCTCTTTTCTTTTTATATGTCAAAGTACCTAATATAGTGAGAGAGCAGTGAATGTTATTTTTAAATATTTTTTTTAATTAAAAGAAAACATGGATCCAAAAATGTCTTTCATAAATGTACAGTTCTATGAATTTTGACAAATTGAACACATGGATAATCAGAATATTTCAATGCTCTGGAAACTGATTATCTCCTTCCAGGCACCACTTCTCCCACCAAGGGCACTGCTGCTACTCTGACTTCTAACAGGATAGATTAATTAATTCTGCCTGTTTTTGAACTTCATGCTCATACAGGCTGTACTCTTTTATATATTACTTTATATGCCCAATATTATGTTATATCACTGTGTTATATGTAGAGTTAAAGTTAGGTATTTTAATCAAGTCTGCTTAGATGTATTAGGTGTGTTATGATGTGGATGGATTAGTTTCTTTTGGATGAGCAGTAGTTTTGTATAAGTGGATAGAGCTTAGAAAAATTACACTAATTCCAACTTTCTTTAAAAAATTTAAATCATTTTTTGAATATCTCTATCTTTTGCCTCTTCAGCTTAACCTTTTAATTTAATGGGTTTTAGCCAGTTAACACATCTAGATAGGTGAATTTTTTTCTTTAATTTTTTTCCTTAACCATTGTTTAGCGAAAAAGCATAAATAAACAGATCACTATAAAGAGTTCAAAGCTACAGGTTAGAAAGTTGGAAAAATTAGAAATCAAATCCAATAAAAGTTTTGTTGACCTAATTTAATTGGTTGAATAGTTACCAAAATTGGTTTAGTATTTCTACAGAGAAAAAGAGAGGATGATAAACATAACTTGGTCCTCACTTCAATAATATGTTCATCTATCTATATATATAAAAGCCTACGTGTCCAAATGACCGGTTGACCAGTCACTATGATGCGCACTGACCACCAGGGGCAGACGCTCAATGCAGGAGCTGCCCCCTGTTGGTCAATGCACTCCCACAGCCAACCTCCTGCGGTTCCCCCCTATCCCCACCCCCACCCCCAGCTGGCCAACCTCTCGTGGCCCCTTTCCCCGGCAGGCTGGCCCCGATGGCCCTGATTGGAACCTCCTGCGGCCCCTCTCTCCAGCCGGCCAACCTCCCATGGCCCCAATCGGCCTGATCACCGGCCAGGCTGAGGGACCCCACCCGTGCACAAATTCATGCAGTGGGCCTCTGGTGTGAATAATAATATGTTAATGAGGCAATATCAATGTGTTAATATGTTAGATTTACAACAATGTAGTTTTAAAAGTATATCAGAGTTGAAAAGTTGTTAGAATACAAAACAGAGATGCTTCTCCTTGAAAGAACATATATGTTTAAATGTCTTGTCTTTCTTAGGAGCTCAATAATAGGACATGCTACATTTTTCTTGGGCTGTACATTATAGTTTTATGTTCCTTGACTTGAAAGAAAATGTAATCAAGTTTTTTTTTTTTAACTTAATCCTTCATTGTTTTTGAGTTGGTGATGCTTTGATAGAAAAAGATTCCACTGCCCATCTCTTTGTATTTATCCTCAAGAAATTAGAGCTGAGTACTGCATAAAATTGATTAAATACTTGAAAGCAACCTGGCAACATGTGCTTAGCATAGATTA